ATCTGCATGAGCTGAGACCCACGAGACAGGTCCACACGGAGACCCCACAACAGCATCTGCAAACACCCTTTCCCTCTGCTCCGCTCCTCCCTCCTGCAAGGCCTGCCCGCCCTCCACGTGGCTCTGGCACTCCGTGCCTTTCTCCCTCCCTCCCTCCCTCCCTTTATCCTGTGGTTGTCCTTAGCCTCTCCCCGGCAGGAGACACTCCATCCAGAAAGGCAGGAGAAGGCAAAAAGTGAACTCACAATTAGTTTTCTCCTTGGAAAACTGGAAGGAGGGAAGACCCTCATCATAATTGTTGTTGTGAGACTTCTGTTAGTTCCTTTAACTCACAGAAACCCAGTGATATCACTCTCATTTTTGCATTTTTTATAGGGAAGGGAACTAACATTTCTTCAGCACCTGCTATGTGCCAGGCAGCTTCCAACACACTGTTTCCGTAGCCCTTTCTTCCCCTCCTAGGGCCCCACGATGTTCACGTCCACGTGCTACTGTGGCCTCTCCCGCCACCTGCCACCCTTCCATAGCCCTTATTTCTCTTGCTCTCACCAGGAAACTCTGGCAGAGCCACAGACTTGGGGACCAGGCGAGGAAAGGGGTGAGAGGAGGAAGCGGGTAGGGACACAGAAAACTCCTCATGAGACTGTCACCGGGGCAGCCCACATTGACCCTAACTGACAACCTCCCTGTCTGCCGCATGCTCACCCCTGGCGGGGTGGGTGCTTTGTAATGTGTCAGAGCCATGATTGACCTCACAAGAAAAGGCTACACGCTGACGTAGGCAAGGGCCCACCACCATGCTCCCAGGTGGAGCGAGAGAAAGGTCTACCCGCCTGGAACTCAAGGAACAGGGGCGGAAAGGAGCCAGGATGCCCAGGGAGAGGGCAGAAGACTTAAAAAGAAAGAGAGAGAGTAAGGGAGAGAGGGAGTGCGCTAGTGCACACAAGCGAGTGCAAAGGTGGGAAGGCGGGATGGGGAGCAAAGGAGAAGAGGCTCCTGGGCCCCTCTGGCAGTTCTAAAGCATTGCTGCAAATTCCTTGACGCTCCTTCACTGAGTTGTAGAGCATCGGCTCCTTCCTCCTGATTCTGCACTGGCTTGTTCGCCCGTGAGTGTGGGAGAAGTGATGGTCACAAGCAGCCACTCAGCTGCCCCTTTGCCCACTGGACTGCCCTGAGGCCGCCACATTAGGAGGAAGCCCAAGCGCCACGGAGAGGCCACATGTGGACACCCCAGTTGACCCAGCTGTGCCCAGCCCTCACGTCTGCCTGGCCCAGGCCCCAGACATGTGAATGAAAAACCTTCCGGTGACTCCACTGCCAGGCTTCAAGTCACCCTCAGCCAAGATCCCAGACATTGTGGAGCACAGAAAAGCCAACACCCTCATACCCTGTCTAAATTGTGACCTGCGAAATCCATGACAAACATAAAGTGGTCTTTTTCTATACTGCTAAGTTTGGGGATAGTTTGTAACCCAAAAAGAGGTGGCTGAGCCATCGCCATTCCCCCATCCCCAGCAGACTCCATCCAGACTGAAACGCAGCCGGATGAGAACAGAACTCCTGAGATGTCCACACTGGACTCTGAAGAACACTGAGCACTGGCAGGTACTGTCACCCACACACTGCAGGGCCTAACATCAGATCGAATAAGGTTGGTAAATGCTGGATTAAATGAGCTTCCTACTGTGAGAGAGACCTTTTCATAGACCAATGAACAGTGCGCATGTCCAGGAGGAAGACAGAGATTGTGTGTGCCCCACAGGTCAGGGCATTTGCCATTTTCCTCCTACTTGTAGCAAAAGCAGCCAGATTTTCCACTGAGAAACCACCCCCACCCTCCACTGTCAGCCCACTGAGTTGTTAAAACTGCAGTCATTAATTATAGATCATTCTTTGGAAAGAATTTCTAAATATTTCTTAGTAATTGGGTTGCAAAACTTTCTATTATGCAGAGTCTGAATCACTCACACGAATAATTTCTTCCTGGTTCCCACAGTTGCTTCTTTGTGGGGAGTAAGGGTCCCCGTGGCACACATGGACAGCTGCCCAGTCAACCCCTTTCATGAGGATTTTCCCAGGGTTCCCAGGGCCCAGCAGACCCTACAGATGCTTGACCCAGGGGTCGTCATCTGCAGCCATCTGGACGTTACAAGGGAAAACAAAAAGGTTGCATCCCAAACAGTTTTTTGAAAGTTATCGAACTAAGCAGCAATCACTCAGAAAGGGATTGTTGAAATACATGAATTTTCTAAAACATTTTTCAAATACAAAGAGTGAAGGAGGCTTGGTTTTTTAGAATGTCTCATCAGCCTATTCCACCAGCTTCCTTTCCAGGCCCAGAAGCTACTGTCTGGTGAAGGGGCAACAGCTCAAAAGTCAGTTGACATCTGGGGTCCTAACAACATTCTCTAGAACCCCCAGTTATTACTGAAGCCTCCTGCCCCACACTCCCTCCTCTGCCAGTGACTACGCGCTTTACTCCCCTCCTCTCCCTCCGAGGTTGCTGCAAGAAGTTGAGTGGGAAGGATTTGTCAACTGCCTATACAGGGTGGTGAACTCTGGGGAGACACAGACTACAAGTTTCCACATTTGGCCCTGAATCCACAGGACAGAGAAGAGCTTGCTTACAAACAAAATTCCTACTTGCCGCGTGCAGGACTTCATGCCACCGACAGCAAAGATGGCTAAGGAAGTCAGCGATTGGCCCAGCTGCTGACCTGCTCCCTGGTGTGTTCGCAAGCCCACGAGCTCTAGGACTGCAGCAAGATCTTATCATGGAGCCTCGCACACTAAGCTGTCCCCCGAGGACACAGATGGCTCAGAGTCAGCCCATCGTGGGCCTGTGCCTCAGTTTCCTCGTCTGTAAGCTGGGAACAAGAACAGGCACAGTCTCACTGAACTCGTACGAGGACAGGGAGAGACTAGGCATCGCTTGCAGATGGGGAAAGCTGGGTAAACCTCTCCACTTGGGTTGGCCTCCCTGCCATTGATGCATTTTGCTCTGGGTGGTTCAGCAGGAATGTCCCACTAGACTAGAAGCAACCTCCTTGATTCTGGGTCCCTTGGGTCCTCACTGCGTCCCTAGGGCCTAGCACAGCAAGCATGTGCCCGATGGAAGGAAAAACACACCCCAGCCACGTGTGGCCAACCCAGCCACAGGGGCCTCCTACAAATCCTTTCTAGAAGCAACCAGAAGAAGAATCACCTGCCGCCAGCAGGAACCCCCACTCCCTACACCCTTCTGCATACGCATCCATCAGCTCACGGAACCCAAACGGGCCCTCCGCTTTCAACAAGAATAGGGTGCACCTCACCACGGCCTCCGGGGAATTCCGCACGATCAGTCTCCATCCCTTTTTGCCATTGTTTTGGGGATGCGTTTGGAAAAAATCAATCTTTAATCATATTAGAGAACTGTTTAATTCCGAGGACTGAATTAATACAGCAGGTTGTGGCACGGATGCCCCCCTGAAAGAACATAGCATCTGGTGAAAATTATAAAATATTTAACAGTCACTAAAAAACAGAGCACACATCAGCTTTTTTGAAAAGAGAATTTTATTTTAATAAAGAATAAAAGATCAATATATTTTTTAAATGGATACAAAAATAAATACTCATTCAGCATATTAAAAGACATGTGCTTTGACATTCGCCTGCACTGGAGCACACAGCCTGCTGTTAGCTTGCAAACACTGCAGAAGACGTGGCTGGTGTCCTGAATTAATTAATTAATCCTTAATATAATGCCCCCTTGTCAGCCAAGAGGGAAAAGCCACTTCCACTGGCGCTTTCCTGTATTCACATGTGACTTCATCCACACCTAAGGGGCCTCTCATGACTGTGTCTAATTACACGTCACACCTCCATCACCTCCATGGACACAGCTATGGGAAGAGCAAATGGGCATTCTTTGGCTTTCCTGGTGACAAGGCCGCTAGGCGGGCTGAACTTGGGTCTCCCAAACCCAGCACCTTCCTCCCTTCTCAAAACAAGGGTGGACAGGTGAGGCCTTTTCCTGCCCTTTTCACGGGAGGTTCTGCGTAAGGGACGGTGGCGACCCGGGCCGGGGCAAAGGAGAAAGCAGAGACAGAGAAAGGATTCTTCTTCTGCCCACTCAGGCCAGCATGGCTGGAGGCAAGTAGACCCTCTGACACCCCCACATCTACCTGGTGTCTACACCGGCTGCGGAACTGACCTAGTCAAAGCAACCAACCCCGTGCTGGCTCGCGCCCTGGCAAGCAACAGGGCACCTGTAGGCGCCCAGCATACCGTGGGGCCCAATCTCTGCCAGCCCCGATGTCTGACACAGGACACATGGATGCGTAACAGGCGCCTGATCTAACAAAATACAGCATTTTTTTTTTTTTTAGAAAAAATGTTCGGCTACCTTTTCATCGTGCCTGTATGGGAAACGATTCAGACCTCACATGGCATGTCGGCGGGCCAGGGAGATGCCATGAACTCTGCTGCTAGGCTGAGCCACTGTTTCACGTGTTCTGCCCTGGCTTTTAGGCAGTACCATGATGTAGGGTAAACAGCATCACACGCTTTGGGATAGGAAATGTATCTTATTTGCTGGCAAATAGGGTAAGTTCTTCCAGGGCTAAAACTGTGACTTTTTTGTTGAGGGTAGGATTTGTCGTGGCCTGGGGCCATCACAAACCTCGAGAAGCACTAGGCATGGGGACGGCGTGCTCCCCTCCCCGGGACCCTGTGGGACAGGGGTGAGGTGAGACGCTAACGCGTCCCTTCCACACGTCCCTCCACCCCGCAAATGAAGAGGGTGACTACGTTGCAGGGACGATTGACATGCTCATGTAATCCACAATTATTGTTTAAACTTATGGTTTATATCATGCCCACTTAAAATTTAAAAAAAAGATTCAAAGCAGTTTACAATAGGACATGTAAAATAAGACAATTCAAAGTACAACTGTCTTTAAAACAGGTCAAAACCATTTAGAAAGAATAAAAGTAAGAGGTATCTGGAATGATTCAATTACAGAAATGAAAAAATAAATTTAGCTCAAAGCTTCCCGGCAACAAAGCCCTAGAGGGAAAGTTTTCATTGTCTGAAGGTAAAAACATACCAGTTCACCTGGGTATGAACATGCTTTCCTGGCGCCAAATTCTAGGAAGAATATACTTTCTTCTAACAAAAGTCTTACGTTCACTCATTAAAGGGAGGCTTGTATCTAAATATTTTTAAATCTTATTAAAACGCTTGAAAGTAAAAAGATATTTCACATAGAATTAAGCATATGAAATCAAAAATGTACAACTCTAAAAAAGAGAAAGACAAAAACAGTCTTGTTTTCACAGGTTGGCTTTAAACTCCAAATCCCTTTACTTGAAGCAGCTGTCTGCTGATATTATTGAACAAGTCTTTGGAAACGTCCATTTACCCAAAATGCAGAAGGAATCAAAGCAACTAATGATAATTAGAGGGGAAAATGTAGAAAACAAAATTTTTAATCACAGGTTATAGTTACGGCCTCCAGACATTTGGTGTAAGCTTCCGACGTTCGTACCAGAACAGCGGAACGGTGCTGGCCCGACTTTGCTTTCGACGTCGGCTCCTCTGCGAAGGCCCTTGCTAACCCGAGAGCCATGCACGTGTCCCACCCCGTCAGAGGGAGCCACGTCCTGCAGGAATTATGGCAGTAATTGTCACGGTGGAATGCAAGACGCTGGAGAGTAGGGAGCCCAGGAGAGACACTTAGACGGTGATCTGCTGGTTTTCTCTGAAAAAGGGTCTCTGGTGGGAGGCACAAATATCCGGAAACATCCGGAAGACCTGGTCTGGCGGGGGCTCCTCGGGAGCCTGCATCACGGGGCCAGCCCCGCAGCTCTTCCCAGCTTCCTCTGCGAGCTGCCGGACATAGAGTTGCTCGATCTAGAGTGTCCGTGGACAAAGCGAGAGACGGAGGTTCCAAGTGAGGTGAGGACTGTCTTTGACCCCAGCCAGAGTCTCTGATGACCCCAGTCCAAGCTATCATTCCAGAAGCTCCATGTGGGCCCCAAATAAATGAACCTGGACTAGGCAGATGCAAAGAAGGGGCAGGCAGTGGTCCTGCACAGACTGCTATATATACTCTCCCAATATTGCCCCAGCCTGGCCAGCCAGTGCCCAGAATTCCACCATTAGAGTTTCATTCCTTTGACTATACTTAAATAAGAGCCTATAAAGCCCTAATGTGTCACTTAGACCCTAACTGAACAGGTAGCATCTTTCTAGAGAAAATGCTTTAAAAAAAAAGAAGCAAAAAAGGAAAAAAACATACACACTCATATACAGATTATGAGAGTCCCAGACATGAGACAATGGCTCAGAGATGGCAAGAAGCCCCCTCCCCTCCTGGGCGAAGGTTTCACCCAGGCCTGCCTCTGCACCCAGGTGGAAAAGCCCCAGTCCTTGCTGTCTCTTCTCCAGCCCAAGTATGAACTTGATCCTGACACAAGGGCCAGGAGACCTGAAGCTGCCCATTCTTACCTGCACGAGAATGAGTTTGGAGCGCAAGGGGGCCATATCCGGAAACTCCTCCCCAAAGCACAGCACCACCCTGCTGTCGGGAAGCCGGCCCTGGCTGTCGTAGAACCGCTGCAGTTCTGGAACGGCACGTGGGGGTGGGTGTGTGCAAGCAAGGCCGAGGGGCCTCCCGCTCCCGCGGCAGTGGGCTGGCCACTCAAGGGGCACGGAGCTCAGCGGGGACAACACGGGGCACCATGGGGTCTTGAACTGGTGGCCCTTTGGCCAAATTCCAGCTAAGGACCTGTTGTCCATTCTCAGATGGTTGCTGGGTTTTGAATACCTAGATTTGATCTCCTTCAACAGCCACAGCCTGCCTGAGTCGCCACTCCCTTGTGTCTCGCTCACAATTTGTTCATTTATGTTGCCTGCCTGGCCCCTGAGGGCATCTGAGTTTGCAACCCCTGCTGAGGACACCCCAGGAGGGCTACAGCTCCTGCGTGACACCTCTGACTCACGGTTCTCAAAGTGGAGCCCAAGGACGGGCAGCAGCAGCCTCACCTGGGAGCTTGTCAGAAACGCAGCCTCGCGGGCCGGCCTGAGACCCATTGGAACCAGGGAGCCGGGAGAGGGCCCGGGAGTCTGTGCCGCACGCACCTTTGGCTGCTGCTGCCGAGAACTCAGCCCTCACCACCTCCTCACCAGGCGGACCCTCGGGGCTTATGCACCTGAGCTCACACACCTCGCTGCACCTGCCCCTCCAGGAGCCCTCCTCTGGGAGTTCTCCGGCAAGGCGACAGCAGGGATCTGACTCTATGTCAGGCCCACGCTGTTACAGGGAGAGGAGCAGACAGCGTTCGGGACACAGAGAAGAGAGGCGGTGCAGATCCTAACCTTCCAGGGACCACATGGGTGGGATCCTCAACATCCGCCTCACGGAATAATGAAAGCTCCGGGCCAGCGCTACTGTGCGCGGGTGTGATCCCCAGACTTAGTGTGTACAAAGTCAGCGCATCTCAGGATGCACACGTGAACCCCCAGGGACCCCGCTAAGATGCAGATTCCGATCCCCTGGGCCTGGGGCAGGGCCTGAGGCCACATCTCTAGCAGCGCCCAGGGTCCGGGGCAGTCCTCGGAGCACGCTCTGAGCTGCAGGGGTTCCGTTCCTTCATCCTCCAGACAACCACACTGACTCTGACCCCCATTTCCACACAGGGAAGTCAAGGCACAGGAAGGCTCCTAGGGTCGCTCAGCAGGAAAGTGCAGAGCAGGATGCTAAGGGGGCGCCCGCTACACGCCCCGCCCCCTCACACCTCTGCGTCCCCCACATGGCTGCAAACGGAAGGGGGGAAGGAGGTGTGATCTTTAAGATTCGAGGATGGTACAGACCTCGGAAGAACTGGCTGGTGTCGAAGACCTGGACCACCTCGTCGCGCTCCAGCTTGTTGGGCCTGCCCTTGCACACCACGGCGTTGCCGCTGCAGAACACGCGGCCCTGGCACAGCCGCTTGACGAACACGCCCTGCCGGCTGCTGTGCAGCAGCACTCCGCGCTCCAGGTGCCCGAACAGCTTCCGCGTCACCTGCCGCTGCCGCTCGCTGGGGATGGCGTCAGCCGGCGGGAAGCGTACCAGCTCCAGGCCCTCGGGCCCATACAGCTTGGCACTGGGCAAGCTGGGCTGGCTCAGAGACAGGCGGCAGCCCTCGGGGCAGCTGGTGGTGGTCTGGCCCACCAGCTTGCCCCCGTAGTAGAAGCTGATCACCATCTGGGAGAAGGCTGCGGATGAGAGGGGCGAGTTAGCGTCTCCCAGTCTCTCCCACCCGGGGGCTTCACTTCTGCGTGTCCTGGATCTCTGTGACACTCTGGGGAAGTTCAAGGACCACTTTTAGAAGTTAGTGTTCTCATAAGTGGAATAAATACACAGACTGATTCGAAATACTGAAAACTACAACAGTACTCTCTGTTCTCCTTATTAAACTCATTACATGCAAGCTCTACGGAAGGTCTGGTAACTCGTAACTTCCAAGTCACACTGAGAGTGAAGGACGTTTCAACAGTCAGTTTGCTATGGACACGCCACCTCCTGTCATAGGCGCTGCCAGCGACACCGCGGCCTGTGGCCCACATTCGCAGTGGAAGGAAATGCCACGTTTGAATTCGACGTTAGAGAAGAAAAAGACGACCTTTCCCTTGATAAATGCACGTTCCTCTGTAGGTTCCCTGTGTTTCCACTAAGCATCTCTGCAAATCCTCCGTCCAAAGCTGTTTCAGGAAGCAGCCGGGACAGCACGCAGGCTGAGGCAGCACTGCCCACACAGGCTGCACGATGCAGAGATGACGCCATTTCCAGTATTCTCCCAATCTCCCATCACCTCTGAAAGCAAGCCTCAGTTCAGTGCTGACAGATCCCTGACATCTAACACCTGACACCCTCCCTTTAAAACAAGGGCATCGGACTTAGGGCTCCAAGCCTCAGACAGGTAGTAACACTTGGCTAGAATTGACTAATATTGTACTTGGCTTTCACTGAATTTGCTCTGACCTCTGACTTCCTACTCGTAGCAGCTGGCACAGGTTCTCCTGTTACAGGCAATGACCGTGGATTCCCATTTAAAATAAACTTCAGTTTTTAAAAGTGAGGAGATTTGAGGAAAATATGTGAATCATAGCCCAGGAGGTACCTGGCCATGAAAACCAGCCGTGCAGGTGAGGCTCAGGGACTGGGAAACACTGAGCTGGCGGGACGAAGATAACCTCTCAATGCAGGGAGGAAGCTGCATCTTAATCGCCTTACAGCAAAACAATCACACACTCGCAAACAGCTTGGTGCTCCTCTAAGTGCCCCGGACCGGCCAGGGCTGCATCCTGGAGCCACCCGAGTCATGAGCTACCCAACTCCACGGTACCCCCCAGGGCTGTGCAACGCCCCACCAGCACCCGTTGGGGCGGCCCTATGGGTGGCCACCGGCATCACCTGCCTCAGGATGCTGGTCATTCGTGACTACTTGCAGCCTCCCACTGGGGACGCTCCTGTCTTACTATTTGACACCCACGTTGGAGTCAAATGGGTTCTAGAATCACGCAGGGCAGGGAGTCGGGGCTGCAGGTGCTCTAGTCCACCTCATTTATTGGACATTTAGGGAAACGGAGGCCAGGATGGGGTCCCAGGGGGTGAGTGGCAGCACCGATCTCATTTTTCCCCGTTCACCACTCTCCCTCCACTGTGCCACGTCTGCCACGTCTATATCACCTGATCGCGTGATATACTTCACTCCCTTCACCTTGGAACAATTTTTGAACTATGCTCCAAATGAAGGAAACACTCCAGGTGACTCTGTCACCCCTTTGGCCTTTGCCCTGTCGCTTCCAGGGCGTTATCTCAGTCCCAGCGCCTCTTGGCCGTGTGAACTGGCAGCTTCACCAGGAACAGCGTTCCAGGCACAAACGTCTCAGTGACCCCACGCCATGGGGCATCTGAGGCTTAGGGAAGGTTCAAGCTGGCAGGGGCCTGAGCGAGGACCCACCATGCCCGACGGGTGAGGAGTGGAGAGCTGCAGAGCAGAAGCAGCTCACCAGGGCCGCCCAGGCCAGGCAGGTCGGCCTCCCGCCACTCTAAGAGCCTCGCCACACCCCAGCCCTGCTCCGATTCCCGCCGCTCACAGGGAGGACGGCCCTGCAGGGAACAGCCCGGCCACACAGGCAGCGGCAAAGACGCCAGCCGCACAGATGCCGGAGCCCAGCCGTGTGACATTCACTACTCTGTGCCTCAGTTTCTCATCAGCAAAGCAGAGATGTAATAATGCCCACCTCACAGGGCTGCTGTGAGGATCGCATGGCTGGGTTATTAAGTAATTGGGGCAACAGGACAAAAGACTGTCTACATAGACAAGATTCCCAAAGTTACAGCTCACAGCCCTGGTCTACACAGTCCACACCAAGTGCTGTGCCGGCACTTTGGACCCATCGGCACATTTGTCCCCACCGGCACATTTGTCCCCACAAGGTAGATTACTGATTATTACGCCCATTTTCCAAGTAAGGAAACTGAGGTGTGGACAGGTTAAGGCGTTCGCCCCGACAGCACAGCGGCTATGTGGGGAGCCTGGACACTCCCGCCCCAGCAGGTTAGCTCCGGGTCTGCTTTCGTCAGCAAGGCCGCACCGCCAAGTTTAAAGCATCACCATGTACCCCAATCACGGCAGCCACCTACAGTCGAGGGCAAAAACTGGCTCCACAGGTGTGTCGGGATCAGCCCGCACAGTGGGGTGTCGTTGCCAATATTTTATATGGGGAGATTTCATATAAACATACAGACCTCAAGAAATGGGAAAATTGGGCCTGGCTGGGTCTGCCAGCCCACAGGGCACCAACCGGGCATGGGCTGTCTACTGTGCCACAGTCTCTACCACTCCTTGTTGCCTTTCGCCTGCCCGTCCCACTGCAAAGTGAGGAACGGGGGCCCTGACATCAACTGGCCCACACAAGGTGGGGCGTGTGTGTGCGGCGTGTGAACGGAACAGAGGCACCAAAAGCTCAGCACTCCTAGAAGGATGTCTCAGGATGGACTCTGCAAGAGACCGTGGCTGTGCGTCACGTCACTGGCTGTGTGCTGAGACAGCTCTGGAGTAATTCGAGGACATGCCCTCCTCAGAGTGGCCTCACCTCTCACTCACAGTCCCAGCACCACATCTGGCTATGTCGCCCCCAGAAAGCATCAGCCGGCAGACCCCCAGGCCACAGCCCAGCTACCCAGGTCAGAGGCTTGGTCCCATGACCCAGGGCTTCCCATGGGCGTCGCAGCTGACTGGCTTAAGGAGGTCCCAAGAACAGGCTCAAAGCTGGACGCCTGCATGGCCTGGGTAGGCCATGGAACCTCCATGCCTCAGTTTCCTCACCTGCGAAGCCAGAGTTAGGACAGTCTCTAGGTCACAGTGGACAAGGCTCAGTGAATGGGAGCGTCATCATCCTTGTAATTCTCTTGCCTGGGTGAGAACCTACCTCCACCACCCGAAAAACACCACCCTGTGCCACCTCAGTTGACGTGCTTCTGCTCTCTGATTCCTCCTCTGCCCGGAGGCCCTGAGTCCCCTGGCCCTGACACTCTGCAAGCCCGTGGGATGAGGCAGGCTGTCCACATCCCACAGAACCTGCCAGCATCGAGGAAGACACCCCCGCTTCCTTTGCCCAGAAAATGCTGTCAACAAGCCTGAACATCAATCCCAGGGGCAACTGGCAGGAGGACAGCCAGGGTCCTGAGCATAATCAGACTCTGCCGGAACTGTCTGGGCTTTGTCTCCTAACAGTGCCCACGCCCCACGCCCAGCCCCAAGCACCCCGTACCTGACTGGTGCACGTCGTAGGTGGCGTACCCTGGCACCAGCGGCAAACCTGCAGGGAAATAGAAAAGCGAACTCAGGCCCGTCAGGTGTGTGCGGGGAACTGCCCGCCGCTCCCTCTCCAAACTCGAGGCTCCGGGGAGCACAGGCTTCTGCTGAAACAGGTGCTTTGCCCTGCCGCAGCGATGACCCATCGTTTCACAAACACAGGCACCAGAGTGGGGGTGCAGGGAACTTCCTCTGTGCTTCGGGGCTTCTGGCCACATGTCAGTGTCACACTGCGGGGCCACATTTCCTTCCCACTCCAGGGGCCTGCCCCCAGAACATCACGGGACACGGTGCCCACCGGCCAGGGCTTATCTCTGGAGGGGGCCCAGGCGTCCACACTCGCTTTCCCCAGGGTGTTCCTGCAGCACAGACAGAAGCCGTCCCCAGGGCCCCTTCTGCGACACTGCCAACCGTAGCCTAGCAATCCCCAAGGTCCACAGGGCCAGCTGCCACCTCCCAGGCTGCCTCAGGGGACAGGGGCGTAGGAAGACCTCAAGGGGGTAAGCAAACAGGCTCCCGGGCTGCAGAGCCTGAGCCTAGGAGGGTCATTTCAGGCAGCCGGCGAGCTCTGAGTGCGACTATCAGAGGATGATAAAAGGGCAACCAACTCTCTCAATCCTGGTGACCCCATGGGGCAGGTTCTGGTGTCTCCATTTCATGGATGAGTAAACAGAGGCTCAAATAAGATATGCAACTTCCCAGAGCAGGATTCAAACCCAGGGCTCTACGCAATCTCCCATCCCTGGTCGGAGCTCTCCTTCCCTCCAGACACGCTGGGCTCTCTTTGGCCCGGAGGGGGCCTTAATGTCATAACAGACTGGCAGACCTAAGGTACTGCCCAGGGACCACGCGCCAGTGTGGCTGAGAGCTGCGTCTTCCCTCCGGTTCACTAGACCCCTCAACTTTCCCAGGAGCGTCGAGGGAGAGCAGACATGGGCGTCACCCACGTTACGGGCAATCTGCACCCTCCTGGGAAGCAGTGGGATACGGGGCCAAGGGGACGGCTGGGCTCCGCCCTCGAAGTGGGAAGCCAGGGCCACGCCTGTTCACCTCTCCGGGCTCAGTTACCTTCAATGTGACATGGATCATAGCAGTACCAACCGCCCCAAGGCCGGCCCTGGCTGATGCCACAAGCCATCCAGACCATGCCTGTAGACGGCCCTGGGTCCCCGCCCTCACCTGTGCCAGGCTGCTGCGCCCACCAGTCCGGAAGGAGCTGACTGCGACAGGCCTCTGGCGGGGAAGGGCTCCTCTTGATCATGCCCACGTAGTCGTCCACGGAAGGCTGCACAGTCGGGGCGAGACGGGGGACAGCTCAGCCATGGAACTCCCAACGCGGGGCTCCAGGGTTTGTAAAAATGAACAGTTTGCGCGTCACTACAACCACATTGCCGCCTTTATCTCAGGAGACAAAAGTTAAGCTTCACTTTCCAACTTGAAAGACCCTAGACTGCAAATTACTCACACTCAGCAGCCAAACCCCGTGGCTGAACTACCAGACTCTTTGGTGGCCACGATAAGTTTACTGGCCTTTTCCGTGGAACTGCCCGTCGCAAACCGAATGTGCCACATGATCCAGGTGCCCTGATGCCCCGCAGACGCGGACAAGTCCTGAGACACCACTGACTGGCAATTCCGAGCCATCTCTGCCATGGTGTCAACGATCTGCTCAAGGAACCATGTGTGGATGTTCAACCTCTAACCCATTCCTTAAAGGAGGCTGATAAATCCAATTATGAGACACTTTATTATTAATAACATCTGCTCTTCTTGTGACCTGGGTGTGGCAATCGGATTAACTCACTCTCTTGGCTGAGTCAGCAGAAAGGCCCGAGAAACAGCCTCAGAAAACAGGGCATTGCTGGAGGGATACAAGGCCAGGAATGTACTCGTTCTACTGCCAAAGACCACCCAGAAAAGCCAGGCTGTTTAGAGTGGGCTGTGTCTAATCTTCATTCTTGTACAGCCAAGCTACTCCTGAAGATTCTGTTATCGTTGTGTTGTTAAGAAGAACTTACAGAGCAGTCACTCCACCTTTTGCCAGGGCTGCATGGGATTATTTCAGTTACGCAAATGTCCGCCTTGTAATAGCCATAAAAGAACATACTTAAGAGGCTAAACATACAAGAAAAGGGCATTCAAATAGCTAAAACATACACAAAAAAAGCCATGAGATTTGCCTAGGGAGACCACATGAAGCCTTCACTTATAGCCTATTAACTATGCATTTATGTATAGTTCTAACAAGCTTGGTGATCCAGTTTTCCAACCCATCAACGACTAAAACCTGCATGTTACAAAGTAAGCAATCCAATAGCTGTGTGAGTAGGACACTCATCCACGTCATGGCCACCCCAAGCAGCAAGGAAAGTTGACATGTCGTTCACTGTAGCCTGCCTGAGAAGGCAGCCTGCGGGAGGGGATAGACCGCCATCCAAAATGTTTACAGGATGAAAAGTTGAGAGCTTGAGGAAACTCCACTGACACAGAGCAGGCAGCTCAGGAGGGACACGGCGTGGGGGCCTGACCAGGTGGCAATGCCACTCCCGCCAAAAGACACGAGGCTTCTGCTGGCAGGGCCAGAGCCCTGGGAACACTGTCCACACTCACCTCCTTGATCATCAGCTCGTCGATTTCGGAGCGCCCACACTCCATCTCTGTGACCTCGTTCACACAGGCGGGAGTCACCACGCCGAGTTTGCCTACGGAAAACCGGACAGACACCACACCACTTGGCACTGAGGCACCACAACTGTCACCGAGGCCATAACCCGTTTTATATAAAAGCTGAGTCTAAAGAAATCTAAGCTAATGCGTGTCTTCGTGGTTTGGGAAAGGCACGGATGTGTTTTCCCATGCCTCGGCCTGATCTCAGACAATCAGCAAAGTCGAAAGAGAGAAGTTGGAGGTGGCGGTGATGGTTTTTGCTAATACTCTTAAAGGATAAAGACGGCACACTTGGGCCTCTTCCTTCCATTTGCCAAGATCCAAAAAGAATCTGTATCAGATAGACTTTCTGACAAGCGTTCACTAATCTACAAAGGCTAAATGTATAAACTGGGACATTTGAAGACACTCAAAGGTTTCCTGGCAAAATGTGCTGGCAGGTTGGGGTCTTTTTTTAAAGACAGTCGGCAGGAAATCTCTTTTTGGCCTTTCCAAATATTCTCACATGAGTCTGTGCACACGACCGAGCACACACCCCACAGCGTAGACTCACTGATGTCCTGTGGGCACCAGCCTTGATCAGGAGGCACCCAAGGGAACACGGCACCACCACTGTGCACGTTCAGACCCAGACCCGCTTCCTCCCAATTTCATGCCTCTTGCTGGTCAACGACCTGGCTCATTCAGAGTGTCTGTGAGAGACACATCACAGCTGACAAAACTCACTAGTCCCAACGACCTACAGAATTCACCTATCCTTTCTTCCTCACTGCATTTTGATTCCATTTCGACAGATTCAAGGATTCACTTAGAAGCTGCTGATGGGGAACGGGAGGGGGGCAGGTGGGCCCCCCATGCAGCTTGCGAACCACTGAAGTACAGAAGAGAGGGGCCCATTTAGACATTATGCAAATGTGACGTTGCTTCACCCCGAGAACCGCCTGCTCCTTTTTTAACATCCGCACTTGCAGGTGAGGCCGGCTGCACCCCATGCAATAAACAAGTCAGGGTCACCTGCCAGTTAGAGCTTGACTGATCCTGGGGGAGGCGGAGGGCACAGCGGAAACTTCTCTACTCCTCCAAATCGCAGTTTACTCTTTGGCAATTAAAAATTATCCGAAACTGGGAAACGAGGCCGAAAGATGACTGCTTGGCCTTCCAAGCCACCCCAGAGCATCACGCAGAGGTCTCCCCTAAAAACCATCTGACGCCCCAAGGGAAGGTCAGTGTGCTGGCCTTACAATTTATTACCAGTTAGGGTTTGGGCTCAGTGGAGTCCGGTGCCAATTTGCAGGTGATGAAGCCACAGACGCCCCACACAATAGTGGCATCATCCCATCAGACATTCATAACTGCCTGCCCTTGCCTGACCATATGTACCAGAGTCTCTTACTCTCTCTCCAACGGTCTTGTCATCATTTGGTTCCCTTGTTATTGGGTCAAATAATTCTCTAACACAGGCTCACTCTACATTGGTTTGAGTCACAATCTTAACTTCTTTAATCACACATCAACATTTTCAATGCCCACACGGGGGAAGACTGCAGACTCGGAACAGTGGCGCAGCCTACGACGTCTTTCGAAGGTTGTTTCTCTCGGGCATTACCGGACTACACATAAGCTTCTGCGGAGAAAACTGCGCTGGGTCAATATTCTAACCACTCTACCGAATGGCCAAGAAAATCAACGTGTTAAAAGAACGTTTTACACAGTGAAGGTGATTAGACTTTCTGTCCTGAGTCACCCTGTCACCACAGCTGCTCAGCGCACTGCCTAGGAAAGGATTCTGAGGCCAGCTCTGAGCTCGGTACGTTCTTATTGATTGATGATGTCTGGCCAGAGCGTGAGACCAGGCAGTGGGGCGCATGGTGGGGTGTTGCTATCCCCGCTTTACTCCCAGCACAAATGCTTTCTTGGGATTTGAGAGCTGGAAGAGACCTCAGAACGATCCCATCCCAGAGTTCCCAAACAACCATCAGGATCTACTGCCACGTCAAGGCGTACCCCATCTCCAGCAACGGAGCCCCTGGACACCTTCTGCAACTTCCTTGGAAAACTTTAGTCTCAGCCCTTGGGGTCCATCCTGTCCCCGCCCACTGTATTCCCCCCCAGCCTCTCCTGTGAGCTGTGGAACAGGAAGGGATTCCTCATCAGAAACTGTTGGCGGGTCCTCATTCCTGTCCGGTGGAACTCTGACCCAGGGGCGGTTTGGTGCCTGTCGTGGTCTGACAGTAAGTAGCAGTCGGCTAGGCTAGGCTGTGCCCATCTCCCCCCGCCCTTTCCTTCGATCCTGCCCCAGCTCCCTGCCGGAAGCCGCCACTTCGACAGCAGATGGTGTGTGAGGTCAGTGGGAAGCCACCTCCCCATCTGCTTACACAACGGAGGGAACTATTTGTTTAACTAAGACCATGTGCCCCAGACCCTGCGTCTACCCCGAACCCAAGCTCTGCACTGAGGGCTTCGTGCCAGGGCAGCTCCTGGAAGGCTGCGTGCCCATAACGGATAGTTACATTTTTGCTCCTCCTCGGGGACGATGCGGTAAACTTTGTATGGCTCGGAAATGTCCAGCTGGGACCGGTCTGTCACTTCCTCAAAATCTGGGCTCTTGTTCAAAGCACAGCGTAACCTCGTCTTCCAAGTGGCTGGTTCAGCTTTGTCCCCTTCTTTAAACTTCCCTTTAAAAACTGCCCAGGCCTGAAGAAAGAAACAGAAGCACATGACATACATGGCTGGCCCCCGTCACAAACATCCACCACCACAACGGGGACCCAGCGCACCCGTCCCCTCCATGCATCTTTGCTGGCCATCAACTCCCATTCGATTTCAGGACTCAAAGAGGTTTCGATTGGGCTACCTGGTGTGAGAAGAGCCAGCCGGTGTAGGGGTCCCCTATGTTCACCCAGCTGAGCCAGAACTCAGCTCCTCACACACACCCCTTGAATGTGCCTTTTAGCAAAGTCCTTCCCTGGACGAAGGGCCTAAGGTTAAGACCCACAAAGAGGAAGTTGCGCATGGTTTCACTAGAATGTTCAAAACAAAGAACAAGTTGCTGCTTTTTCAAATCAACCCCTAGCTAACATTTAGCATTGAAAAGGGAACATTTGCAAAAAGTCTGAACGTGGTCATCCATTGCCCTGCCACTTTTAATAGAAATTTTGTTTTGCATTTTTGAATTTATTCAAGATTTTTCCCCAAGGCACTATTTCAAAGGCAACAAAATGGTTTCCCTTTTATTGGTTTTGGTGTTTTTTGTTTGTTTGTTTGTTTTTCCTAGCTCTATTTTCTTACTTTCTCCAAACCTTAGGATCTTAACTAGGACCAGAAATTCAAAGCTGAAATCTTAAAGTCAAAATGCAGAGTGGGGCAGTATTTTAAAAATAAGACCCGTGAATGGGCATATTTTAAGATTCCAAAATTGGAATACAGACACACCAACCATGAGGTAACCACCATCAGGTGAAAATTACCTTCGGTTTTAGGCAAAATCAGACAGTGTCCTCGAGCCTGAAATAATTAGAGATCTGTGGGGAATTCTCAACTCCATTCAGGAAAATGTAATGGCAAGAGATAAGCAACTTTGCCGGGGTGATCCGGTCTGGGATGAAATGCCCATGTACCTCCTTCCAACCCAATGGACTTGCCGCTACTGCAAGTGTTGTTGAGCTTAATGCATATACCAGTCCCCCAGGAAGCTTGTGAAAATGCAGGCTCCTGGGCCTCGTCCCGCGAGAGTCTCGCTAGGTAGGTGCGGGTTAGGTCTGGGAACCTGGATCTGCAGCCAGCAGCCCAGCAATTCCAGTTCAGCTGGCCAGGAGACCATGCTTGCGGAAACTCCACGATGCCCCATATGTCACAGCTCCTTTAAAACAGCCCTAGCTTTTCTCCCCCTCTCAAACAAGGACAAGAATGTTTATAATTTAAGACCAACGCTCTCTACTCTGTTGATGCAAAATTTTGCATCTATGCCCGGAGTGAAGAAACTTGGAAGAGAATTCCTATCAGTCAGCGTGGGCAGTGGTTTCCTTCTCTAACACAGATGTAAAAGTCCCCTTTAGAACAATTCTGCAAAGTTCATGGTCAATTTTCTCCTTTACTAACTGCATCGCCGACCATGCATTGATTTGGGTGCTGTCGTCATTGTTGTTTCAAAGACGTACAAGAGCAAACTGTGTACTAAATGAACAGGAATTACAACTTTTTATTACTTTCAATCAGGGTCTCTACCTTAGAAAGACTGACATGTCAGATGGGATCATTCCCCATGGTGGGGGCTGTCCCGCAGTGCAGAGCGTTTAGCCCCAGCTCCAGCCTCAACCCACCAGATGCCAACAGCACCCCTCCCCCAGCTGTGACAACCAAAAATGTCTCCAGACATGGCCAGGGGTCCCCTGGGAGGTAAAATTGTGACCACCTCCATTTGAGAACCATTGGATGAACCCATATTCCAAATGGACTTTGAGACGCATAGCTGTGGTGGCAATGTTACAACCTGCAGGTGCACATCCAGAACCGCAGTGCCCACTCAGAGCTCACACTCAGCCCATGAGGGAGGCCAGGACACACTGTCCATCAAACCAGGCCCCATGGTTGGGGTGCATCCTGGACTGCCACCCCCGGCCTGCAGCCTGCCCTGAGCCCTGTGGCACAGCAGGCACCTGTCTCTCCCAGGGCCTCTCTGGCCAGCTCCAAAAACTCGGCTTAGCTGGACGGTATCTCAAGACCCCTCTCGAGCTAGAGCTAAAACCTGATGAGACAGTGACTCTGAGGCCCACCCACAACAGCCGTGATGGCTTGTTCAGCCTCCGCCATCTTTCTCCCATCAATGCACAGCGCGAGCGGCCCCTGTGAAGCTCAGACCACAAAGTCTTCCTAATGTGACTTTGCTGTCTCGTATTGTGTTTTAAAAACTAAATGCTTCGAGGCCTACTGAATTTTAAATATCTGTGCTACTAAGTAAGTTTTAACTTATTTAGATCGATCAGAGGCCCATGAATCCCAACCCTCACTTAACTAGATTTTCCCCCACATCTTTATGAAAAGAATACAGAAGACTTTTGTAAAAACAAATATGCATTGATATCAGGGCCTCATCAATGTGCTCAGGGTTGGCACAAAATGAGCTAAATCTCCAATCCCCCAGCCGTGGTCTACACCACAAAGCTGGCCTCAGGATGACTCCTGCAGGCAATGAAGGATTCCCTTGAATAAGTGACTTCTTACAATCCACTTATTAAGGCAGGAAACAAAATTCATATATGTTTTTCTTAACTCCTAAGTTTTTGAAAGGTTTTCTTAGAATGTTGGAAAGAAACGGTCTCTACGTAACTACAGAAGCCCTAAGACAGCTCTATCTACGCAAGGCCTCGCTGCCGACGTCTTCCAGTGGCAAAGTTCCATTTGGTAGACACCGCAGAGCTCCGTATCCACGCTCAGGGAGCACCAGACACGTTCTTGCTAACGCCGTACTTCCACCGGTGCCCGCCTCCCGACGGCCTCCCCAGCCGGTGGGCACCCATGTCTCCCTCCTGCCCCCATTCCTGCTGAGATTGTAGACTCATTTCAGATTGCCACATCGAGAAACTGCGTAACCAACGGAAACATTGGGAATCTTGCACATTTTTCTCAACACTGTTGAAACGGCCATGAAGAACATTGCATAAGACATAAATCTGGGGCTTTATTTCAGTAGCCCTGGAGCGTGAGCTGAAGCAGGGAACAGGGTGAAGGGAGCAGCCCGCATCTCCACCAGAGGCCAACGCCAGGGCTGCACAGCCGCCGGTCCCGCACCCGCTGCCATCCTCCCGAAGATGTTTCACTGACATCCGACCTGCCACGGGCCCTCATCAAGCACCCAGTGCTTCTGTCGATCCTGGCTGTGGTCAGCACATGGCAGGGTTCTCAACGGGGCAGAGGAGACTCTTCCCCCCAGGGGACATCTGGCAATGTCTGAGATGTTTTTGGTTGTCACACAGGGGGAGGGTATGCGACTGGCATCAAGTGGACCAGGAATGCCAATAAACATCCTACAAGGCACAGGACAGCAGCCACCACACAGAATTACCCAGCCCTAGGTGTCAACAGTGCTGAGCTTGAGGAACTCTGGCTTTTAGGATTATCTAGGATACAGAATTCCCAACCAACCAGATGGGACTGGAGCACTGTTTAAATTTGCAGAGTCATTCCCAAGAGATGTTCACCATGGTGCCAAAGGCAAGAAACATCTGCAATCACACGGGGTAGAAATCCGCAATGGCACTGCCAACGCGGAAGTAGGCACCGGCGTTGGAGAACCTGGCGGTGTCCAGGCATCCTGACCTGGGGTCCTTGATCAGAAGGAATCTGGAAGACACGTGGGGACCACAGGACCCCTCCAGGGTGAGCACAAACGTTCCCACGTGCCCGTTTCTCTCGGAGTGGTCAATGACTGGCATCAGATGCTCAAAGAGATTGGCAACCCCAAATTACGGACTTAACGGAATTGCAAACATGCACAGTCCCGCTGCACACACCAGCTGGGCAGAGGCTTGAAGGCTGAAATGCATCTTAACCCAACCTGGACCTACTTATGCTTCCATCTGGGGTCAAGGTGTGATCTTTGTCACTTCTGTTTGCTGATGTCAGATGCCAGGCGTCCCTGGCTGAGAGGCCAGCGCTGCTACGGGGTCCTGCAGCCTCACCTCTTCCCACCTGTTCAAGGTTTCAAGGTTTCGGGTCTGACTCTGGCCCCACTCACCTCCCACACTTTCAGCCCCTTCCCCATCCTCTGCCCCCGAATGCTACAGAATAAGCGTACGTGGCGGCGACCTGCAACCGGCTCTAAGTCAGACCACCCGTGGTACGAATGTTTGCAAACATGAAAATCTGGGCTGAGCTTTATCTAGGGCTCCAAACCTCCCAGGGCAAAACCCGGACAATGTGGAGCCTTGGCAATGACCACAGGGACTCGATAACCCAGCTGGTGTGCAGAGCTGGGCTTCCCCAGTCCCTGTTCCTCTGCCCGAGTCTGGCTGCGACTGCAAGAATCCCTGTTTCGATCAGGACCTGGGCTCACAGTTGGACTACCTGCCCAGACACTGGTTCTGTCACACGAGACCTGTGAGTGTGAGACCGCAGACAAGTCTCACAGGTCTCCTCCTCTCCCTACAGAGTGAAGATGAGAAGAGCGCCCGCCACAGGGTTGTGTGGAAGGAAAACAAAACAACGTGTGAGGCCAGGCCGGGCCCAGAGCCGACCAACCCTCGGTCGATGATGGCTGTCACGGCGCACACTGCAGAACGGTGAGTATCTGCATGCTTGGCCTACTTATTATTCTCAAGGCAAGTAAGACTATTTTTAGACAACCACAGGCCCAGGACACGCCACACGACCTGTCCCTGGCAGGAATGACAGATGGCATCTCACCCTCCGGAGCTGGCCCTACAATGCCAAGAGGCAGCAACAGCTTTGAAAGAAGGAAGACATCAGCCTTCCCTGGTACCCAGCGTCACCTCTGACGGCAGCCCGAGGGAAAGGTCTTCCCTCTCCCTTGGCTGGTTAGTTCTCAGGAAAAGGACACAGAGCAGGGAAGGAAAGTGCTCTCAGCATCCTCATTAGAAAAACGCCAATAATACAACTAACCTCGAAAGTAAGCAAATCATTCAACAGATGTAAAATCAGCTAATGTACATTTTCAAGACACATTCAGCACTCTTCAATCAATGTTTGTTTTTTAAAATTGGATTAATTTTTCAGCAAATCAGAAGGATGTCACTCGACACCTCCCCAGGTCCATGAGGGAAGCAGAGACCGAGCTCAGGGTGGTGGGGTTGGGGGCTCTACCTTGAAAATGGACGCGTCCACTTCCTGGTTATAGTCCTGCTTGCCGGCATGTTTCCAGGGGATCCGGAACATGCTCTTCTCGTCGTTTTCCCAGATCAGTCCTGGGTACATGGTGCTGTCGATCTGCTCGATGAGCCACTGCCGGAGCCGCCGTCCGCCATTGCGGTCGCACATCCTTGGAACGACGGAGACACGTTCTGTGAAGTGACAGATACCGTCTCATTAGTCACAGCAACCCAGGCACCACTAACAGGAAAACCAGAGGTTTGCAACAAAGGTGTTGGCTTGGGGGATGCCCACAGATCCAGGGACTCTGGGCCACCTGCCATGAGCAGACAGCACTGGCTTTTATGACCTCAAAGCCCTGAATGAAAACTGAAAGCTCCATGGGAAACCCGCAGCTGCCCGGCAGCCCCGTGTGCGCCCCTCCTCTGGCGCTCGCTGTGCTCCTTCCAGCTTTCACCCTTCATTTCCTTCCAGGCAGATACGCCCACGCCGCGCAGCTCCGCTTTTAGCACCAATGGGGAAAATCACTTTTACGGCATCAGGTCCCTTCACTGCACAGCCCATTAGTCTAAGAACCAATTCAGTTTCCCGGTGCCCAGTTTGACTGATGTTCTGTGACAAAATACGGCGTCTGTGCCATCTGAGAAAGAGCAAGCCCTCGAGGCTGTGCCTTCTAGGTTGTTTCTTCACAGCTGGTTTAGTGATAAGGGCATGAGTCTGGGAATGAAACAGAGCTGGGGACCCATTCAAGTCCCACCACCTCTCATCCAGGTGACCCCAGACCATCATTTAACCTTGGGGCACAAGCTACTCTATCCCGGCTGAGATCAGGGGTAATTACAGGCACCCAGCAGGGCTGTAGAGAAAATTCGGATGACACATGTAAAGCACTGGGACGGTGCCTGGACCTTAGACGTGGCATGTCACTGTTATTATCCATAGTTTCCTCCTTGAGAACTCTTACAACCAACTGAGAGATGGGGACAAGAGTGAAGGAATAAACTGTGGCTCCAGAGCAAAGCGCAATGGAGTCTTCCAGAAGACTCCATCATCTAGAGACCTACCCATCCAGGCCACCCAATGACACCCTTTGGAGGGACATTCTTGCCAGAGCAGATGGCCTTCCCAGGGGCACGGAGAGAGAAAGAAAGAACTGTGAGACCGTATCGACTTACAGCAGGCATTTACAAGAACAGCGCTGGAAATCCCCTAGGCAGTTGGACAGACGCCCACCCAAAAGAAAAAATAGCATTTCTATTCTTCTGATTAAAATGTGACCTCTTCAGGCAAACAAGTTTAAAACAATCAGCAGTGACAAGACATAACGTCCCCAAGAAGATGGTCACATCCAGAGCCATCCATGCTGGTCCATAAAGAGAAGTAACAGCAACCTTTGCAAGAAGTATGCGTTTTGGAAATTCCAGCCCCTGCAGGTGACTTTAGGGGTGGGAAAGAGGGCCAGGCCCCAGGGAGTAGGTGAGGACCCTTAAGTGCCAATTTATTTTAACTTCTCCATCCAGTAAGCCCCGTTGCCCATTTGTGGACTTTAAACGGGGTGAAGTGTATGAAATAGGAATTAGACATTGATCTGCAAACTCCGGACTCTTCTCTAACTGGACCTTGGCAAGTCACTCGAACCTCTCCCCGATGCTCCCTCACCTGTCAAGTGAAGGGAGCTATCCCAAGAGACCCAGAATTCTACAACAGGCCATGTGTTTATAAATAAGAAGGGACAAATTTGGGAGGGGACATGGACAGGGAAATGAAACACCACCACCAAGTACCCCCCAGAAAACAACTTGGCAGGGTGCAAATTCCTGCAGCTCTTCCCTGGGGAGGAGGCAGCAGAACTTCTCCCAGCTCGAGGAGGGAGCTGCGTGGAGGAGGATGAGGGGTTGGAGGCTGAGAATATGTCAAATAAAACGTTTCCCTTCGCCCCCTTGCAACAAGGTTCTTAAACCAGAGTCCGTGGTCCCTGAGCCTCCTGAAATCAAAAGCAAAATTGTGTTAGTGCGGGCATTTCTTTAGGAAGAGGGTCAACACTTCCTCATCAGGATTCCTAATGGGTTCATAACCTCAAGACTCTTAAGGACAACTGTCTTGGTGATTTATAAGAAAAAGAAAAGAGAGAGAAGAGTGAATCAGAGACTATGAAAGCTGGAAAACACTTTAGAAATCATCTAATCTAGCCTCCTCTTTATTCAAAAAAAGGAAAAACTGGGGCCCAGAGAGACACAGCAAGCACTGAGGCACGTAGCAGGCTGCGCCAGAACTTAGGCTGGCACCCAGCCCTGGCGGCAGCTGGTTCTACTCACTGTACAGAGAAAAGCACAGCTAAGTGACAGGATCTCAGCACACGGACAGCCCTGCCTCAGTGTCCTCTGCGATCAGCTCCAAGTTCTAAGTAGCATCCAAAGCCTAAGATTCTACTACAATGATGATCCATAATGATTTATTAAACACTAACAAATTAATTCTACCAAATGCCCAGCCAGGAAAAAGTAATAAGCCCAGTCACATGTTTATAACTTCCTCTTCCTTGATTTTGAGGTAATAATTCCCTCTGTTGGCCAAGTCCTATCCAGAGCTAATCTGCATCCCTATAAACGTATCCAGGGGACAGGCTTCCCAGACAGAAAGTGATAAGAGTCTGCCCCGGGCCCACCCCATCCGGATTCCAGGGTGTCCCTGAGCTGGCGTGCAACAGAACTCACCTCCTCTCCGCCTCTCGGGGCTCTGGGCACTTGCTCTGGCTACAGCACCCTCATCGCCCCTGGACTAAACGGCATGGAAGCTATTTCTCCCTCTGGCCCAGCCTTGCTCAAGGGACTGAATCTTCCAAATCCTTTCATAAAGGAACCGGCCGTAACCCAAACGGACAAGCTTAGAACCATCATTTAACCACTAGCTCATTCTTTTGGTTTAAAAAGAAAGTAGTGGGGGGAGGCTTCTGGTTGGGGGTGGGGAACAAGTTAAAATTTTGGAAAATTCAGTCTCTAGTTTCCATTTATAAAGCCCTTCACAGCTCTGCGTAAGTAACACATCTCACCTTGGAAAGTCTCATTTTGCCACAAACTGTTTTTGTGGGCTGTGACCATTCTCTGGCCAGGGACGTCCGGGCTGTGATGGAGGCAAAGGACCACACACCCCACCCAGAAATCGTAACTGACTGTCATTAATCAGAATTTTAAAACCAGCATGCCCCCCCCCTTCGCGATCTAACCTCAGCAGCGCTGGGTTCCCGGCAGGGCAGTTTCAGAATGCCGACCCTCCCAGCCTTGTTCCTCCCAACAGGCGCTCAGCGAGATGCAGGAGCAGGTCCCAGGGTAGAGGGGCAGCTATTTCCTTCACTGTAGGAGCCATCTGAAGTTTTCCATGCAAACCAGATTTTGAGAAATATAAGACTTTTTTTAGCATCACCCGGTCTTTGGGAACAGGCCAACGAGCACGACGCGTGCACGCTCAGTCCGGTCGCAGGTGCTGGGGACTGGGGAAGCGCAGACAGACCGGTGGCATGGACCGGGCTGCGCCAGGGGACACCGCCGCAGGTGCATCGCGCCCGCCCGGTGTCGGTACCGGCGGGACCGGCCTCACGCGACGCTGGGCCCTGCCCGCGGACCGTGCCTACCTGCCGCCGCTGCTGCCCGGGGTCCGCGCCGCCGCCCGGGGTCCGAGCTCGCAGCCCGCTTTCCCACGCTCGCGGCCCCCGCCGGCGCGCCTGCGCATTTAAGGGCGGGGGGCGAGGGCGGGCCGGCGCGCAGAGCGACGGCCTCGCCGACCAATGGCGCGCGGGAGGGGAGTGGCCACCGCCCCATCGGCGCGACCCGCCTGGCCCCCTTCTCTGAAGCGCCCCGCTTTCCGAGAAATGACTTTGTGCTCCGGAGTTGGGGTGGCAGCGGCTGCCGGACCCCGAGCCTCCTCCGGGGCAGCGGCCGAGCCCCTCTTCTCGCCCCGGGGCTCCGAGGGCGGCGCGGGCGGGGGGTTCCCCCAGGAATTCCCGAGGGGCCCAGGTCAAGGTCAAGGCGGATGATGCGGCTCGGGGCGGAGGTCAGCGCGGAGTGGTCCCCGCAGAGCGACCCCGAGGTGTGCGCGGGGGAGTATGGGCCCGGATCCCGGAGCTGCGTGGACGCCCTCGCGCCCGGAGCAGGCCCCGGGAACGTGTCCGGACGGTGCGAGGTGCACCTGTCGCCGCTGGTCACCACTCGGGACCGTCCCCCAGCCCCCGCCGGCCCTGGGGCCGGGTCTCGTGATGCCCTGCGGCGCTGCTCCGCGTGGAACAGGGTTGCGGATGCGGGAGGGAAGGGCCGTCTGCGGACGGGTCCTTGGGGCCAGGCCTGCGGGGACCCGGGGTGGCGGGGGACGGTGCAGCTAGAACCGTGTCTGCGGCCACAGCCCGCTGACCGCCAGCGCGGTGCGGGGGCGTCTAACGCGTGGGCGCTGGAAGGTCCACTTGGGGGACCTCGGCGTGTTGGGGGGAGACCCCCGCGTGCCTGGGCCTCCAGGGTCTGACCTCTCCCGGTTGTGAACTGGCATTTGTTGTAAATACGGGAGTAGAGGCGGGGAGAACACTGGAGAAAGAAATGAGAAAGTTCTGGAAACAGAAGGAAAAAGAAGTGTTTTCCATCCCACGTTCCATTTTGGGGTAGGCTTAAGAATGGAAGAAAATGAGGGTCACAGTGTACTTTTATTGCCCAGTTGGCAAATCAGACACCAGCAGCAATGTTTACAGGGCTGTTTTACTCATTAGGTTTTTCAGAGACCTGGGAAAATGTTTGAGATTGAAAAAGAAATTGTTTTACCCCTACAATACAAAAAGTACACTGTAAGTTTGAAATTAATAAATGTTTAAATAAAAGTCCACAAAACATGTGAACTTCATCATTGTAATTGATGGATTGATAAATGTTTCAGTTATTTGAAAACCATTCACAAGTTAGAAATCACCTGGTATGAATTTCCTAATGCCACGATCGCCAGGAGGCCATAAGTAATGATAAAATAAATGAGTTCCTTGTCGCCAAATAATTTCAGACGAAAACTATTTTTTAAAAGCTCAAACTCTTTAAAAGTTTTTTAGAGAATGTTGGAAAGTTTTAATAGGTTTGCCGTGATGTGGGATGGAACTTAGAGAAACCAGAGCACTTCAGACTTCAGAAGTTCTCAAAGTAGCCTTCTGTATGTATTTGCACTCATGCCTTTTCATAAATATTCCCCTTAGGCCTGCACAGATTTCCTTACTTACAAATGCTGTTTGCTGCACAAAGATGTGTGCTCAAATTTGCACTCAGCCCTCCCCTTGGATAAAGACCGGGGCAAGCACATAATAGGAAGTCAACAGTGGAAGGGCTCTAGCGTGTGTTATTGGCAGCAGGTGTCACTATGTACATTATCGGAGTTGTTCACAAGAGACCGGTTTGCATTAAAACTTCTCCAGAAACCCCACATTTTCAACATGGTGGTTCCTTGCTGCCTAGGAACAATTTCTAACCTTATCTGTTTAATTCTGCTCTTATTTAATGGGCATTTACTGAGCAACTGCTATGTGCTAGATAGGGTGCCAAGGACACGAGACCCAAAGGATGAACAGAGGTCTTCCTCTGATCATTCCTGCCAGCATCACACATCCTGGTAAATTTCATCCTGACCTCCCCTTCCTGCTTCCTATCACTTCCCTGTTTGTTATGCTCGCTGCTCCCCAGGGTAAGCCTTTCTGTCTTCGGTGGTTCCCAGTCACACAGGTCTCAGCTTGGCATCAAAACCCATACTTACCCAGCCTCGTCGCTTACCCTTGTCCAACAGGAGCCCCTGTCTCCGTGGATGGCAGCCTAGGGTTTGGAGATGGGCTCCGGTTCCAATCCAAGCTCCCAGATTGACTACATGTGTGACCTTGAACAAATGATGTAACCTTCCAAAGCCTCAGTTTCCTCATTTGTATAATGGCACTGATGCTAATATTAGGTTAAATTATGTGAAATCGCCTACATTCAACCATTCTTCACCTTTAGAAGGGGCGACTTACTATGGCTCAACCTAACCGCTGCTGCTCTTTAGGATGAGCAGGGATTGAATGAGATTGTGTGTGTGTGTATGTGTGTGTGTGTGTCCGTTCTTTCCTCCACCTTTCTCATCAGAGCGAGAGGAAAGGTCTTACTGTTGCCAAATAGTCACAAATGAGAGAATTATAGAAAAATGGACACAGTGATTCTTAACTCCAGGTTCCAGCTGCCAATTGCAGATGAGTAACAATCTGCCTTGGATGAAGAATACAAAGCCCTCGCCCAACCTGGTCAGTTAGCTGCCCCTCCCCCAGCAAGCTAGGTCTCACCTTCTCACCCAGGCCTCCTAGAGACCCTCACCTCTCCATGGAGTCTCTTTGTCTTTCTCTCCACCCTCCCTAATTCCTATCTTCCTCATCTGCAGAAACCTCCCTGTTCTCTGTCCTGCCCATCTGTCTTGCTTGGCCTAAATTGTCAATCTTTACGTCCACCTAATTTCCTTCCGTGGCGGGGAGCGGATGTGGAGGTGATAAATCAAGGGCACCTTCCACAGCCAGCTTGGGACTTAATACCTATGAGACCCTCTGACTCTGACAACACCTGCCCTGGCCTGGATCGTGTCCTCCCAAGTTCATATGTTGAAACCCTAACCCCCAATGTGATGGTGTTTGGAGATGGGGCCTTTGGGAGGTGATGAAGTTTAGATCAGGAATTAGAGCCCTTGTAAGAAGGGATGCCAGAAAGCATGCGCTAACTAAAGCTCTCTCTACCACATGAGGACACAGGGAGAAGACGGCCGTCTGCAAGCCAAGAAGAGAGCCCTCACCAGACCCGACCCTGCTGGCGCCCTGATCTCGGACTTCCAGCCTCCACAATGGTAAGAAAAGAAATATCTGTTGCTTAAGCCCCACAGGCTATGGGATTGTGTTATGGCCGAAGTGACCAAGTGAAATTAGCATAACTCTTGTGGGCCATGTTGCTAATAGAATCTCAGTACCTCTTCTCCACTTCTGATAGCATTACAAAAGGCCCTCCCCTGTCACCCTGGCTGTTTTTCCTAGTCCTGGGGAAAGGACACTCTTCCTCAAGACGAGAACGAAGGTGGTGGGAATCCATCCAATCTCACATTTAAACTGCTCAGAACAGTGCCTGGCACAAAGCGAAAGCTCAATAAATCTAAGAGGGTGTTGGGGGCATGGTGGATTCTGCCTGGTCTGGCTTCTGTAGGGACCAATTCCACGAGGGGCCAAAGGGCGTGAGATTCACATGTGCGGATTTACAGAGGAAACGGCTCTAAGAACCTTGGACCCTTGGCCAGACAAGAGATAAAAAATGGACTCAGGAGAGGGAAGAGGTGAGGGGAGTGGTGCAGAGCTTCCTTGGGAAAGAGCTCACCTGTCCCTTCACACCTTCCAAGCCAAGCTGAGCGCGGGGGTTCACGGGAGCTCTGAGACGTGTTTGCTGAGAGCACGGTATCCGCTCGATCCTGCGCTGCACTGGGTTTCTCACGGGCCAGGGCTGAGCCACCCAGGGATTAGGACTTGGGCCTCTTTGGGGACGTCATTCCAGCCACCACTTCGTCCTTAAGATCCAACTGAAGCCCTATCCTCTTTCCTGCTCCACCTTCACTGACCCACATTTTGAAAACACTGGGCTCCAGCTATGCTGAAATCTTTATCACCTCACTTGGCATTAACTGTATACATTTATGAATTATTTCACTAATTGTTTCTGAGAAACGGGGTAAAATCTTCTTCTATTTCAGTGCTCCTACTTAAGCCAGCGCTCAGTTAGAAGTGCCTTAAATAGACAAGTGTAAGTGCATCGCAGAAGAAAATGTCAGGGGGCAGAAGGGAAGGAAGCGGGAAGAACATTGCTTCTCTGCGCTCCAGTTGGTGTGTCGATTTTTATGCCTTTTTGAGTTGGAAATCCCCTGGAACACCCCTAGCGATTCTCTGGGAGGAGGACTCACGGGACTCAGCATACAGTTGTGCTCACAGCTGTCATTTATGCAGCAGAAAGATGCACAGCAAAATCGGCCAAGTCGGGCAGTTTAGTGCGTGCATCTTTGCAGATACCATAGGTCGTTTTAAGTGGGAAAACTCAGTAATCCTTGAGTTGTTGCAATATCAATTATCCATGTGGTCGTTACAGAAAAATCCTTCACTGCAATTGTAGCTGTTGCCGTAATGACAGCATATTGCCTGTATCTCTGTCTCTAATGCAATCTCTATGTGCCAGGTTTTAACATCCTTGAGCCTGGGCGAGTGCTTAAGCTTTTTGAAAGAAACATGTTTTATTTGCACAAAGTTTATCAGTTTTGAGAGATCGTTAATGCTCTCAAACTGTTTTTTCTGGGTACAGAACAAATGGTAAATTTGAATTTGTCCTTTTTATTAGAGTTATTTAAATTAAGACTGCTTACCTTATCAAACCATGCCCTGATTTTATATACTTGTCTCTAGCAATAAACATTATGATACTTGAAGAAAAAAAAATTAAACAACCACTAAATAGCCAAGACGCATGTGAAAGGTGATCCGAATCACTCATAAAGGGAATGCAAATTAAAAATAAAATGAGCTATGACTACCTACTCACCAGAATGGCTACAATTTAAAAGACTGATAGTGTTGGAAAAGATGTGGAATGGTGAAAACTTTCATGCACTGCTGCCA